GAAGCATAGATCAGACTGATAAATGTCAGAGGGATGCAGGAAGGTGGGTGGGTGGAGGAGGAGAGATTAACCAAAGAATTTATATGCATATACGCACAACCCAGGGACACGGAAAATGGTGGGGAGATGGACTAGGGATGGGGATAGGATGGGGTGGAATGGGTCATTGGGGAGAAAAAGGGACATCTGTAATATTGTAAACAAAAATAAAATTAAATTAAAAAAATAGGAAGACAAACAATCCAATTAAAAAATGGGCAAAGGACCTGAATAGACACTTCTCCAAAGAGGACATATAGATGGCCAAGAGATATATGAGAAATGGCTAATCTCATACATGGCTAATCATCAGAGAGATGCAACTTCAAACCACAATGAGGTACCACCTCATACCTGTCAGAATGGCTGCCATCAACAAATCCACCAATGACATATGCTGGCGAGGTTATGGAGAAAGGGGAACCCTGGCACACTGCTGGTGGGAATGCAGACTGCTGCAGCCACTATGGAAAATAGTATGGAGGTTCCTCAAAAAATTAAAAGGGGAACTTCCTTCTGACCCAGTGACCCCACTTCTAGGGATATATCCTAAGAATCCTGCAGCACTAATCAGAAAGAATATATGCACCCCTATGTTCATAACAGCACAACTTACAATAGCTAATACCTGGAAACAGGCCAAGTGCCCATCAATAGATGAGTGGATAAAAATTCTGTGGGACATTTACTCCGTGGAATACTAGCAGCTGTAAAGAAAAAGGATCTCGTACTCTTTGGGTCAGTAGGGATGAACCTGGAGAATATTGTGCTAAATTAAACAAGCCAGGCAGACAAAGACAAACATCACATGATCTCACTTATATGTAGAATTGAAAGAACTTAGTAAACTGATGAACAGAATAGATCCAGAGACACAGAAACATGGAACAGACTGACAAATCTCAGATGGAAGGCAGGTAGGTAAGGAGAGATTAACCTAAAAACTTATATGCATATATGCATAACACATGGACACTGACAATAGTGTGGTGAATGCCTAGGGGGAGGGGTACAAGGTCGAGGGGGATCAATGCAGGGGAAAAGGGGACATTTGTAATACTTTCAACAAAGAGAAATTTAAAAAATAAAAATAAAATTTTACCTGGAAAAAAAATAAACCCTTTTTTCCCTTTCCACATATATTACATTTATATTCAAGAATAATAAAGGAAATAATTTTGGGAACAACCTTCTCAAGATTGAGTGTTATATCTCCTGCTCTGTTTCAATTCTTGTGGTGCTTTAGTTAAGAGTTTACTGTTCTAAACTGTAGACTCATAATGGGTTTATGTCCCCATGTTACATTATTTCAAAAATCAAAGAAATTTACAGCTTGAAGAATTCAATGAATTTAAGAATCTTATTAAAAGTATGCTAATTTTCTCTTTGAAACTATTAAGGCTTAAGTACAAAGTGTATTGGATTTAGAGAGAAGTGGACATGGGTTCAAATCCTGACTCTCCTACAAAACAGTTTTGTGAATTTTTAGAAATTTAATATTTTCAGATTATTTAAAAGGTGGTAAAAATACTTCAGTTTTAAGATAGATGTGAAGATAAACATGAAAAAAAAATTTTAAGTTTCTAGCATAGCGCCTGGCATACATTAAGTACCCACAAATATTGATTCCTTCATTTTATTCTTTTCTTTCTTTCATAATAGCTCCTGTTTTCCTGTCTTAAATAAATTTTAACTCTTAATGGCATTTGTTCAAGCAAATTATTTATGTTGATTTTTTCAACATATATCAAAAATATAATAGCAAACTACAAGCAAAATATAATAAATGCATATCTGATTCATTTCATTGTACCTGCCATTTCTCAAAAAAGAATGCAGTGTGCTAGATAAAGCTATCAAGGCATATTTTTAAATTAATGTTTTAATTAACATTTCTGATTTTAAATGTAAAATCGTGTTCATGTGTCATCTGTTACCTCTCAATGATTCCATGACGCTGCTGTATTTCAAATATAATGTTGTTTTTAAAGGAGACAAAACATACACTAATATTAATGGGATATAATTTACGGTTTAATTTAAAAAGCAGATCAAGTACTGAAACTATTATCTTTCATATCCTACTTAAGTAAAACTGAACTTTCAGAAGGATCATTAGATATTTTAAAAATTTAAATAGATAATTTACCAAACCATTCCTAGAATAATGTAGTTTTAAATTGATATATTTTCAATGCATGTCTTCAATTTTAATTTTCACAGATGAATGACATATTTCCCTAAATTCATTTTCATCATAGAGTTACTTAGCAGTACTAATGTTCTCAGAGACCAGGACTATATTTATGCAGATTAAAAAGATATATTCATGATATTATATCCCTGATCAAAATATTCCCAAATCTCTTCAAATATTGAGGTCTCAATGCACTGATATTTACATTATTAAGTACTGAACAAATGTGTGCATATCCTTTTGTTCCAAGATATGAGTGAGTTAGAAAAGGCAGATTATTTCAGTTTTCAGCTGCTAAATGTAATGTTGATAATCTGAATTGCAACCACTTATCCTGGCAGTTAAACTACAGTTATAAAGATATGACAATACTTTTAACGATATATTTGTAAAGTATTTTTTAATTCTGTAGGGTTCATCACTAAACATCCTAAGGGCTATCATTATACTTTGATAAACACTTAATAATTTTAATAACAGGGTTTAAAAGTTTAAAACATATGTATTAAACAAGATATTCAAATTTCTCCTAATCAGAAAGAATAAAAGCAATGTTTCTGGTGTTTCTTATTTATATAAAGTATGAATTAATTAAGGTTATCTTATATGGAAAATTATTTGGTCTCTTACTATTTTAATAACCAAAATGGACATAAAATTCTTAGAGGACTTTAATTTTCTCACAGTTTTCTCTGTGCATTTTTGTCTTGACTTCCAAGAATAACTTCAACAGAGAAATAAACAACATGAAAATGGCAAAATTTTGAAGGTTATACATAACGGAAATGTGTTCCACCCCTTACAAACTTTTGAGAATGACCATTAAGCAAGTAAATTTAAAGTTATCTTACTTTTCAAGATAAAAGATTTTTTAGAAACATTGTTAATGTTTGACGGTTTTACTAAAGAAACAAGTTTCTTGTATTTGTGGAGCTTATATACTTTACACTTTGACGAATGCCCATGTTCAAGTTTTTACTTAAGAAGAAGAAATTTTCTATATTTGCAATTACACATCTCCTCACTATGCCTTATTTTAACTATTTAAACATATATATTTATTCATTCAATGACTATTAAGCACCTCTTATGGATCAATCTCTTCGACCTGTTAGTATTTTTCTTTGTGTATCACTTTCTTGGCATAAATCTGTGAACTCTTCACTCCAACTACCACAAGCTTAGCAGAGAGGAGCTTTCTCTCTCCCTCTCTCCTTCTCTCTCTCTCTTTTCATCTATACCATGCTTTATTAATTGAAGACATTTTCATACATTACTTTGATAAAGTCCATTGAATGTCTACTGATGCGATGATTTATATTAACTGCTTTAATTCATATAGTTTTTAAGTGTTTCTTTACCATCTTATTAAAATTTGACTCTAATATCTGAAGTACTAGTTATCCCTATATCTTATTGATTTTTCCCTTAAATACTTAAGGGAGGCAGGAAGTGTTTCCTCATCTACTGTCCAGGTAAATAGAACTAGGTATTACAAATATTACAAACATAAGATTAAATAAAACCATACTACTATGATGACAATTGGAATGTTTTAAAATATCCACGCACTCATACTCTCACTGTCTAATTCAAAGGTTTACTTTTTAAAAAAAAAAATCTACATAACCCATGGACACAAACATTGGTGTGGGGAAAGCCTGGGGGTGGGATGGATGCAGGGTGGAGGGGATCCATTCAATGGGGATAAAAAGGGGACATCTGTAATATTTTCAACAATAAAGATAAAGAAACTTTTAAAAAAAATTTAATTCTAGTTAACCTTTTTCTTAAGCAATTTGTAATTTGTAATATGATAGGAAAGTTAAAAAAGATAGACCTGAATTTTTTTTTTTTTTTAGTTTTACAAGTGCTCTAAATTTATTTTTAATAAAACAATTAAATCTTGCTTTTGCCTCCTCTCACTCACTTTATAATTGGGTAAGGTCCCCTAAGAAACCCTGTGAACAGGGATACAACATAGTGGATACAATGTAGTGGGTACAGACAAGATAAGAGCTCCCTTTCTCACTCTCAAATTCTCTATTCCCTTTCAGTATTCTCTAGTAACAAAAGGCAGCTGAGTTCACAGCTGAAACAAGTTGTGCTGTGAATCCCAGTGATTTACCCAAGTAGTAAACAGTCATTGGGATTTCAGTTGCCAAGCTTCCTAGGAATCCCTAGCCTGGGTCCAGCAACAGGCATAAAAGTGTTTCTGTTTCTTGACAGAATAAAAATGATTCCGAGTGTAACTGATCGATCGACAGGATATTGAGAACTATCCTTTCTTCCTTTCCCCAGTTTAGGTACCCAGAGTGGCTAGATAGGGCTCACTTATATATATTCCCAGTGGCCACCAAAATCTCTCATTTCTCCCAATGCATAACAGGCTAAAAAAACAGCTTTCCTCCCCAGCACCGCGGTGTGGCTACAGCTGCTTTGTTTACCTTATAAGTCACACCGGGGGTTCATTCCTAGCCCTCTCTCCTGCTTTAAAGCCGGGTGTGGTGAGAGGCTGAGAAGCATCCCCTAACTCCAGCTCACCACGAGTCAACCACAGAAAGCTTCATAAATCCGGTGGAGCCTTAAAGAGAAACCATGCATCCGGGAGCCTTTTGAACTCCTAATCCCCCAAGGATGTCAGTCCGCCTCCCAGGAGGGATCCGGCTTCCCAGGCAGCTTGAGAAATTTAACCGAGATCCTAGAAAGGAGGCGAGGTGCAGCTCTGGTCAAACGGGACTGTGTGAGGCGACACCCTATTTACCTGTAAAGTTGCAATCTTCTGGCTGAAGATGGATCGGTCCAAGGGCTGGCGCCACGGCAAATTCTAATGGAATTTCCTTAGTCTCTGCGGAGTTTCAAAGCATTCCAAGGAAGACGCATGAAGCTGGAGCCCACGCAGCTGGCACCAATCTGGGCGAAGAGAGGATGCTCCCAGAGCTACGCCTTGGGAGGCGGGGGAGGGGTGGCTCTGGAGGGGGAGGTGAGCACCAAGGGAGGAGAACTCGCCCACCCCCGCCCCCACGGATCCCTCAGGACAAAGTTAGCTTTCCCACAGATGACAACAGATGAGCAGAGGAAGGAACCCCGCCCTCGGTGCCGGCTGGCAGGCTGACTCCGTGTCCTCGCAGACTCGTCTCAGAAGGAACAACCTCTGAAGATGCGCGTCCCACGCACGGCACTGCGTGGCAGTGGAGGACACCAGCTCACTGGCAAAAGCTGACGCTTGGTTCCCAGTCTGCTGCTCCGGAATAGTCCAGGGGCATCAGCCAGTTTGGCAGGCGAGCTCACCACAGGCCAGTCTTCATCAAGGCCAGTTGGTGGCCAGAACTCATCCAGTTTTCCCGGAAGCAAGCCACACCCCCAGGTTTAGGCAACCTCTGCTTAGATGTCGGACTTCAGCTCCTGCCTGAACTCAGCTTCTGTAGCCCTGCTCCCACCCCAGTAAACAAGCATCCGGGAGGCAGGCCTCCCGACTTGAAAAAGTAAGCTCACCCCCACTGGCAACTCAAAGCTTCTCCCACCCTGGCTCCTCTGGGCTCTGCACCCTCCCCCATTCCTCAAGGTGTCAGACTTCCCCTGCAAGAGAAGGATTATTTAGCTTGCCACTAGAGTCAACAATGGAGACAGTCGCAATGAACAAATGAGGCACAGTGTTCCTCCCACCCCCGCCCAGCTTGGCCTTTTCAACAGGCACAGGAAATCAGTAAGTTTCCAAATATTAAATTATTAAAATACCAGCCTATGAATACGAGGTTCAGTGACTTCAAGTGTGTGTGGTGTGTGTGTGTGTGTGTGTGTGTGTGTGCTGCTCCAATAGCTACTGAAATTTCAGGATAAAAGTGATCTCCTGGCCAATCTCTGGTATTCACACATTAAAACAAGATTCAAGCTCAGAGAAGTAAAGCTATATAATAGCAAAGCTGGCGCTAATTTACTTGCTGTAACTGCAATGCTGTGATTCCCAGCTTGTCACTCACAGAGGCTTGGTTGGTGTAGATCCTATGGCTTGAAAGACCATTGTAAAATCGAGGATGGTGGCCATGTGTAATCTGAGCTAGCAAATATCCCCTTAAACAACTTTTGGTTTCTACTTGATTTTATTTTCCTAAAGCCATGGGGTGCTGTTAGTTGCCAATGGCATCTGAGCATATGCCTGCTCCAGGTTCCTGCTTGTGCAACAGATTAGTGGCAACCCTTTCTGCTCCTGTCAGCCAAGTGTCGTTACACCTTCTGGGAGTCAGGAGCTGGGTCCAAGGAGGACAAATTTCTTCCCAAAGAATATTACCCCAAGGGAGTCAAGGGAGGTGCAAGCTGCACCCACATACAACTTCTATTAATTGATTTCTTTCTTGGTTATCTTTTTTCCCTCTCCTTAGTTCACATGAGTCAAGGGTTTGTTTGTTTTTTTAATATTTACATGAATAAAGAGGGTATCATTAGAGAATACTGGTGTGATGTGCATGCTGCTTTTTTCCCCCTCTTAAATCACTTTCCTTACTTTCTAAATTTCTCTTTCCCTCTAGCAGACAGCTTTTCTCATGGGTTTATTTCAAGCCCAGCTTTGACCTGGGTTCTAAATTTCCAAGAGCACTACCTCTAGATCATCTTATCCAAAATATTGAAGAACACTGAAGCAAAACTGGTTCCTATAATATCTCTCCATAAAACAACCAAAAAGAGAAAAACAAGTTTTCCTTTCTTTCACCGAATCTCTTTTTTCTCTTCACCACAAAAGTACATTAACATCTCTAAACAGTTTTTAAATTTTCTTAATGTTAAACAATGGCTTTTATAAAATATGCAAGAACACACCTATCTGTAGACATAGTAATGAACTTTATAACACATGTAAGTCAACTTTCTAACAAGGGTGGAGGGACAATATATATGAAAATCTATTGTATGCAATGCAACTATATTTTTGTATTTTTTCATTAAATAATATTCCCATTAATCATCAGTAATTGAAATGTTTTAATGCCTAAGAAACAAAAGTGAGGCTAACATTTATTGATGTAATGTTTTGTCTCACCCCGATAAACAATATTCTACATATTCTGAGTGTGTCTTTAAAAATAAGCCTCTAATAAAATTTCACATACTGAGATCCTTATATGTCTTTATAATACATTTTAAAATACATTCAGAAGACAGTGCAACAGTGACAAAACATACCCATTGATTAGAGATTAAGAGCTTTACTTTTTGCAACCTTAGCATCTGTACCAAATTATATATGCCTTCCTGCCTCTTTGAGGATATGTTCTTTATAATAAATGCCATCTCTGTCATGATATTGGTGAGAGGCATTTTTGCCTATTTCCCTAATTTGTTATTTTCCCCATAAGAAATATGCCTGTGAATCTATAATAAATACAAAATGGAAAGGAACAGTGAGGGTAACCCTCTGAGTAAACTATGTTTCCATGGGAAGAAGAATGTTCTATTGAACAGTGAGGTGCATTTTCAAAAGTTTTGTGTAATTATTGATTGCTAACCTCGTGCCACCTACTAAAGTGATTAGCAATTTCAAGAAAGTTATTTGAAATATATTTTAAAACACAGTGAACTGCATATACTACTGCCATTAGCAGTAGAAGGAAGAAGGCTTGTTTTTGTTTATAATTTTTAAATACAAATTTGATATTATTTCACAAATCTGCATTCCACTTAAAATGCAATTCACTAAAGTCAAAGTAATGTACAGTAAAATGCTATATGCTGAGTGGAAATTTCTTCAGCACCTTAATCAGAAAAACAAAAAAACACTCTTGTTTTGAAATTAGCAAGAGTCAAGTAACCCAAGAAATGGTAGCAGTAAGATCATTCTCTCTAATGCTTATTCATGGCTAAAATATATCATGAAACTGAAATTACTGCTGTTTTAGGAACTCAGCTTTCAACCTATTTCTAAATATTACTTTCACTTAGAAGCTGATAGGTAGTATGTGGAGTACTTCCTGACTTAGAGACAATCAAAGATAAAGATATTGAGAAAATTAAATTTTGCACATGTATCACTATTAGAATTTTATGTGACAGAAATACTCTATATGTGATGTTGCCATCACCAAATACATGATAATGACTTTTTCTTATCTTAGGTAAATTTGGGAAATAGGTTAGCATTGTCTTTGAGACCCATGTGACCTATGTTCTACTTATTGACCGGAACTTTCCCTTATTCTAAACAAAGGCTCACTGATGGTCCCTCCCTTACTGAAGGGCTAGGCCCTGCTCAGCTTCCCCTGCAGACAGCAGCCCTTGCTCCAGATTTTTGCATGCCTGATTTGCCATCAGTTGTGACTATTTGATCTAATTTGCATGGATCATGCCACCAACAAAGTTTTTGGCCTGACTTTGTAAAAAATTTAATATTTTCAAAGTTACCAAGTTTTCTTTAAAAACATTTAAATAAATCACTATATGTTTCTATGAAATACTTAAATATTTCTCATCTTGCAAATGTGATTAGTTTTTATAATATTATTTCATATGGTTAGATTTTCTTGAGAGCCTTTGTACACACTAGTCTTTACTAAAATATATGTACTCAGAATAGATTCTTAGAAATAGAGCTACTGCATCAAAATGAGAGACTGATTTAAAACTCATGATATATTATACATATTTTACCGAGCCCTTATAACATGGGATATACGTAGTTTTCTTTTCCCTTTTCTTTTTTATATTTTTTCTAACTTCTTATTTTAAAAAACTGTCATCTCAATGTAATAAGTTGTATTGCCCTTTGTGACAGTATGGTTGAACCTGGCAATTATTATGCTAAATGAGATAAGCCAGTCAGAGAAAGACAAATACCATATCATCTTACTTATATGTGGAATCTACTGAACAAAATAAACTGACAAACAAAATAGAACCAGGTACACTGATACATGGAACAGACTGACAGATCTCAGAGGGGAGGGGAGTGGGGGTCACTGGATAAAAGAAGGTAGCAAGATTAGTCAAAGAACGTATATGCATAGCCTGGACACAGGCAATAGTATGGTTAAGGCCAGGGGAGTGGGGGGGTGTGGAGGTGGACAAAGGGGGAAAATGGAGGACATCTGTAATAGTATCAGCAATAAAAAAAAGAAAAAATTTGAAATATTATATTTTATGCTTTGCTAGTTTACTTTTTTGTGAGTTATATATACCTTTCCAATACTTATAGGGGTTTTGGTGCCTTTTTCCCCCATTTGATTCATAATATGTCTTAATATTAAGAACATTAATTCTCACCATATTTATAGCAGATATTGCTCATTTTATTTACTGTTAAAATTTTAGATGACATTATTTGTTTTTAAAAAGGTTTAATTCTGTTTTAAGATTTTATTAAGTTTATTGGGATGACATTGGTTAATAAAATTATATAGGTTTTAAGTACTGTATACAATTTTGTAATATATCATCTTTATATTGCATTGTGTGTTCACTACCCAAAGTCAAATATCCTTCTGCAAACATATATTTGATCTGCTTTAACCTTGTCTACCTTCCCTCACCCCACTTCTCTCTGGCTACTACCACACTCTTATCTGTGTCTATGAGTTTTTATTTGTTTGTCTTCTTTGTTCATTTGTTGCTTTTAGTTTATATCCCACATATGAGTGAAATCATATCGTTCTTGACTTTACCCTTTGACTGACTCCATGTAGCATATTTTCAAGATCCATCCATGTTGTCTCAAATGGCAGTATTTCTTTTCTTATAGCTGAATTGTATTCCATTGTATATATGTACCACATCTTCTTTATCCAATCATCTCTTGAAGGATAATTTAGTTGCTTTCATGTCTTCACCACCATGAATAATGCTGCAGTGAACATAAGGGTAAATATATCTTTGTGAATAAATGTTTTCAAATATTTTGGGTAGATACCCAGAAGAGGAGTTGCTGAGTCGTATGGTAATTCTTTCCTTAGTTTTTTTAGGAGCTTCCATACTGTTTTCCACAGTAGCTGTACCAGTCTACATTCCCGCCAGCAGTGAATGAGGGTTCCTTTTTCTCCGCTGCCTCTCTAACACTTGTTATTACCTATCTTGTTGATAATAATTCTAACAGGTGTGAGGTGGTGTCTCATTGTAGTTTTGACTTGCATTTCCCTAAAAGCTAATGAAGTTGAAAATCTTTTCATATATCTGTTGAGCATTTATATGTCACCTTGGGCAACGTGTCTGTTCAAATCCTCTGCCCATTCTTTTAATTGGATTGTTTGGTATTTTGCTGTTGAATTGTATGAGTTGTATGAGTTTTTATTATGGATATTAACTCTTTGTCGGAGCTGTTTGTAAATGTCTTCTCCCATTCAGCTGGTTGCTTTTTGTTTTGTTGATAGTTTCTTTTGCTGTGCAGAAGCTTTTCATTTTGATATAGTCCCATTCATTTATTTTTGCTTTTACTACCCTTGTCTTTGATGTCAAATTCATAAAGTTCTCTCTAAGACCAAGGTCCATAAGTTTAGTACTATGTTTTCTTCTATGTA